GGGGGGGGGGGGGGGGGGGAGGGAAAGGGTTGGTCCATTAAGAGGGGTGTTACCAGCTCAGCTATTTAGCAGGGTGCTATCAGGGCTCTGTCACATCAGAGCCGGCAATTCGCACACAGGGAGGTGATGTCCCTGTCCCTGCCTTGCACCTTCACAGCCTCAGCATGTCCCAAAGCTTCTCTGTAGGACCCAAGCACTGCAGGACCCATGTCTCCACAAAGAGCAAGTGGGAACACCCACTTCCCAACAGTGTTCTCTGCTCAAAACCTCAGGAAGCTTTTAGTTTCAGTCATCTCTGACCACACGGAGGTTGAAGATCAACATCAGGCTGGATGTCCTCCCATGGACATGTCCCTGCCTTCCTCTTCAGGCAGCCAGGGGAGGTCTCCATCACCCTCACAGCAAGGTTTCCAGACCCCTCAGAAGCCTGGAAGCTTCTAAACAGCTAGAGTTTGAGCAATCACAGGGTGAGACTGAATTTGCCCACCTGCACGCCACCACCCCTGGCTGTGGTGGCCCACCACCTCAGGAGACCACATCCTCCCAGGTCCTTACCCGCGTACGGTCTTCGATGCTGTAGATCCGGAGCTGCATAGGGATGTTGAAGCTGTGTAAGAAGTTGCCTCCGAAAACCAGCGTGTCCATGGGAGTGTACACAGCATGGATCCAACCTGGGAGAGAAAGAAGAGCTTGAAGAACCCTCCTGAGCAACTAGGGGAGGTCAGAGCCTCACAACTGACAGTCCCTACCAATTCCTTTGCAATCTCTTACGAACTGTGCTCTTCAGAGCAGGGCTGTTGAATCTACACAACCTTCACGCCGTTTTGCTAAGTCCACCTTGAGAGTTGTACACTTAACCTGCATCCAGACTAGTTATTGACCCCTTGTCACATCAGGGTGAGCTAGGAGAGGACCCCACAGACTCCAGTTCTTTGAGGAGTTGCTGTAACACAGCAACGTTCACCCCTTCTGAAGTGTCACTGCTGAATTACTCAACACCCAGCTCGTGTGACCCATCTAAGAGCTACAAACAGCCTTGTATTCAGGCACTTAAATACACCCGTGGATCTGGCCTCATGTCCTCCCGTGGTGGCACACGTGCCACCACAGTGCTTTGTCACCCTGGTGTCTCTGTAAAATCACTTCCAAGCTGCACTGGGCCCAAGAACACCAGCAGCAAGAAAAAGAGTCTCCCAAAGTCTGTTTGACAATTAAAACACCCTCCAAGCAACTCCAGACCCAGCTCTGCCATCTCCAAGGCAATCCAGCCAAGCCCAACATTTTGGGAATTCCAACGTGGGTTTTCTTGAGGAAAGGCCACTCGATTCACAAGAAGCATCAGTCATGGGACCAGGATAAAAATGAGTAACTTGGCCAGTCCCTGGTGCTTTCTGTTCCCAGTCTGGCTGTAAGCTAGAGGGGTACAATTTACAACACAGCTTATTCCTGCACCGCTGCTGGAGATGAAACAGCAGGTTACGGCATCCTTTGCCACCTGAGACAGTCTTAGGGACACAATTTTTATAAAACAATTTTATTAGAAGACTCAAAAGGGGCCCAACCATTTTTCTTCTTACAAGGAAGTACTCCCTAGGGCAAGAGCAGCATTTTAGAGACATCCTAAAAGGCTGGGAGCTGGTCCTTGCAAACAACCAACTCGAACTGCTGTTTCATCTGCCTCATCTCTTCTGCCTTTGCTGTTTCCCAGCACAGCACTGCCCTGACCGTGCAGGCAAGACATCACCCTCCAACTACTCTGCTTGCTGAACCAAGTCAGGCTAAAGATTTCTCATCACAGAACGATATGGGCTTGGAAGGGACCTCTGGAGATCATCTCCTCCAACCCCCTGCCAGAGCAGGGCCACCCAGAGCAGGTCCCACAGGAACGTGTCCAGGTGGGGTTTGAATGTCTCCAGAGAAGGAGACTTCACCACCTCTCTGGGCAGCCTCTGCCAGGGCTCTGCCACCCTCAAAGTCAAGAAGTTCCTCCTCATGTTTAGATGGAACTTCCTATGGTCAAGTTTGTGCCCATTTCCTCTTGTCCTGTCCCTGGGCACCACTGGAAAAAGCCTGGCCCCATCCTCCTGACACCCACCCTTTCAGTATTTATAGGTGTTGATCAGATCCCCCCTCAGCCTTCTCTTCTCCAGACTAAAAAGCCCAAAGTCCCTCAGCCTCTCCTCAGCAGAGAGATGCTCCAGGTCCCTCATCATCTTTGTAGCCTCTGCTGTCCCCTCTCCAGCAGTTCCCTGTCCTTCTAGGAACTGGGGAGCCCAGAACTGGTCCCAGTGCTCCAGATGGGGCCTCCCCAGGGCAGAGAACACTCGAGAATGTTCCCACCCAACCTCAAATTCTCCTTATCCAAGCCCTCTGCAAAGGAGGGTGTATCTCCATGTTGCTGCTTCCCAGCTCCCTACTGGGTTTCAGCCTTTTCCAACATCTGCTTTTAGCTACACGACTCCCAGTTCTATCTCCAGTACGACTGTCTTTTCTTGTGTCCAGAGCAGTCACCTTGTTCCTTAAACAGACACACACACTGGCTCCCTTCCTTGCTTCAAAATTTGAATATAGCTCTGCAGAGATTTCAGGAGAGACCTCCTCAATATGCAGAGCTCTGCACGTCAACATGCCAGGCTCTGGGAAAAACTCCTTTAATAATTGATCAATTATGTGATGTGAGCCAGCCACGGCTTTCCTGTCACTCGGGCTGAGTCCACAGTGTCATGACAGGAGCCTTTCAGGGAGCTGGCAAGCAGGAGGACAGAGCCACATCGCATCTCCCAATTACTTATGAGGGAGGAAGCTAAATCCTGCCTGTTCTGATTTTTGCTTGTGTCCCAGGAGTTTCATCCTCTTGCCACGACCCTGGCAAAGGCCAGGATGCCCCTGCCCACCCCATGGTACCTGAGGGGATGACAAAGGTGTAGCCCTGCTTGAGCTCGATGCGCTGGCACTCTGACACTCTGTCCCCAAGAAAAATGTCTCCTTGCTTCCCTGAGAGAAGCCAGTTTTCATAGAGCTCCAGGTTCTGGGGTGTAGGAGGGATCAGCCAGAAGATCTGCAAATAAAGACAATGCGTGTATGTAAGTCATCACATAATTAATAGTTGCTGACTACCCCCTGCTTATTCCTGCTCTGCTTCCTCTCCAGACATCTACATCTCTGCTCTTCCCACCCACAAAGGATGCAAATCTGTGGAAATTTCCAGCAAAGTGACCTAAACAACTGCCCCCTTTGAAAAGCCAAGCTGCTGAACAAGGTCCTTCCTCACCTGACACACTGGGCACCGCAGAGACTGAGCTTGGGATGCTTTGTAAGGTGTTATTTACATCAGCGTCAAGAGATAAGAGAGCCCAAAAACACTAGAGACAAAGGAGACTTTTACCTGCATATTTCTACCATGTTCATAAGAGCCACAACTCAACTAGAGATTTCCACACCCCTCTGGCTCCGTGCAGTACAGGTGACAAGAAGATATCTATCCCCAACTGGGCTCTTTGGAGACCATTGGCTCATCTTTTGGGAGAAAGCACTGGAGCCACCAACCATCTGAATGGCTGGGGAAGCCCGGGAGCTACATCTCCTTTTGCAAAGAGAAGTGGGTGAAAAATTCAGGTTCTTCAGGTGGGGCAGAGATTGCTGCCTTCCCTGAGTCTAGTTTAAGGCAGTGGAGAAAGACAGGATGGAATAATTGTCCTGAAGAAGTGACAAAAGGTTTTACTGCCTGTGGAAGGAGCCTTCAGCTACATAGTTCCTTCACAGCAGTTACAAGCTAAAGGATTTCCTACCCTAAGTCTTTCCAAGGCTCTTTCTCAGGAGATGTCCAGCCACCACAGGCAGCCTTTTTCACCCCCTAACTCCTTGATGAATTCAGCCCTAGCTGGCTGATGGTCGTTATCAGAAGCAATGAAGTCTCTTCTAATTGCTCACAAGGATTAAGTTAGGAACGAGGTGCATTTTGCTGGGCAAGAGGTGGCACCTGCCTTTGGTAAATCCTACACTACAGGATACTTTCCTTGACATTGTGTCCAACTCTGGTGTCCGCAGCACAAAAAGGACATGGACCTGTTGGAGTGGGGCCAGAAGAGGCCCTGGAGATGCTGGGAGGGCTGGAGCCCCTCTGCTGGGAGGGGGGGCTGAGAGAGTTGGGGGGGTTCACCCTGGAGAAGAGAAGGCTCCGGGGAGACCTTGGAGCCCCTTCCAGTCCCTCAAGGGGCTCCAGGAGAGATGGGGAGGGACTCTGGATGAGGGAGGGGAGCCCTAGGAGGAGGGGGAAGGGTTTGACACTGAAAGAGGGGGGACTGAGAGGAGATGTGGGGAAGAACTTCTTTGCTGTGAGGGTGGTGAGAGCCTGGCCCAGGTTGCCCAGAGAAGCTGTGGCTGCCCCATCCCTGCAGAGGTTCAAGACCAGGCTGGTGGGGGCCCTGAGCAACCTGGTCTGGTGGGAGGTGTCTCTGCCCAGGGCAGGGGGTTGGAACTGGATAATTTTTAAGGTCCCTCCCCACCCAAACCATTCTCTGATTCCATGATCAGCTTTACCCGATAATACTAAGCCTAAGGACAACTGGGAGGACTGGCACCTCCCCAGATCCCCTCCCAGACAAATTTCTCCCAAGCCAGACCCCAGTACAACACACAGCTGGGGGGGCAGATGCCTGGCACAGGGAAATCCCTGCACAATTATGCCAGGAATCCACTCATCAGGGAAGGAACACTGCTCCTGGATGAAGTTTGTAACCAGACAAACTCAAACTTGATGGAGCCTGGTGTTGTAGTTGAGTTGAGTTTTCGTATCTTGGACTGAGCTCAGCTACGGGAAGGGACTCCAGATGAGCAGCTCAAATCTGAGACTATTTCAGAGCTACTTCTCACCAGAAACCATTCGAGGGGTGTCATGGTTTCAGCTGGGACGGAGTTAACCTTCTTGCGAGCAGCTGGTGTAGCGTTGTGTTTTGGATTTGGGATAAGAAATAGTGTTCAAAGTGCACTGATGTTTTTGGTTGTTGCTAAGCAGCTTTTGCTTTACTGCCTTTAACTGCTGTCAACCCTTTAAACTGTCTTTATCTCAACCCATGAATTTTTCCTCACTTTTACTCTTCTGATTCTCTCTCCCATCGCAGCTGCATGGTCCGAGCCGCCGGCTGGGGTTAAACCACAACAAGGGTTTTCAGCCTGTGCCTGGTGGACCTCAAGAGGGCCTGAACTACTTCCAAGAATCACAGAGGAACAAGTTTAGGGTGGAAAGACTTCAGTTTGCTGTCTGGGGCCTGCATCTTTGAAAAGCAACGAGAGAATAGACTCAAAGCCATCTCTAACTTTCCCAACGGGGACTGTCCTCCTACCTTTCCCCCTCGGTGGATGTGGTACCACACAGAAGTGCCGCCGAAGTCCACGTGGAAATCTGTGTAGCAGCCCTTGACACTCATCAGACAGTATCTGGTGGAAAATAAGATGATGATGATAAGGTGAAAATGAGTGCTGATCCACTTTTTAGACCAGGTATAACATATTCAAAGAGTTTGAGCTGCCCAAACCCAGGCCAATGGCTCAAAGCAGCGCCAGAAGCCCATTTCTGCAGTGCTAAGCACTTTAACTACAGGGAGGTGGTGGTCTGCAGGAGAGCCCACTTTGCATTTATATCACATACCCTCAAAAAGATCTATCCTAGGCAAGAGGAGGTCTCATCCTCACATACTGGGCAGCTCTAGAAGCCCCCCATGTCACAGGTTTGGCCTACGGGGCAGGACGGGCAGCGTCCAGCAGCACAACTGAACTCCAGATGTCTCCAGGTGGTGAGCACCAAGAGTTTCCCCAAAGGACAGCGAGCTCCTAGAAGCCATGCCACCACCCTTCCACACAGCCTTCAGCAGGGGCTTAAATCACTGACTGCAGTGTCCTCACAAGTGTCACCCACTGAAATAAGCAGAGAGACTGTTCCTCCCACTCCCCCTCGGTACAAAGTGCTTCTCCCTTGGGCAGTTTTCTTGCCAGAGAGGTTTTGCTGCCCACCACCACTGGAACAGCTCAAGAAGTCACTTACTTCTGCACCTTTGGGTACTGCATCTCCAGGATAGCGTTCGTAGACTCTGTCTGACTCTCCTTCAGGTGTCTGGGCCACATGTTATCAACCCAGTCAATCAGATCCACCTACAGCAGAAAGGTGGGAGACGTGAGTAGAGATAAAAGGGGCACACTAGTCCCTTTTGCTGCCTCCCAGCCTGTCCTGGAAGCTCAAATACCTGTTGCCTGCCTGGTAAGCCCACAGCCAACACACAACTGGGCACCTCTGGGATGCACTGGGCCCACCAAAGCCACGGCTCAGAGCACACCCACAACAAATGATGGGACCAAGGAAGGGAAGGAAGACCTGGTGTTGGCCAAATGGCCATGATTCCTCCTATTTGGCCCACACACAACCTTCCCGGTGTCATTGGTGCCATCCCACACGTAAAGCACTTCAGACCAGCTGTTCTGACACCAGTTGGTTCATGGTGAACCTCTGAATTCACACAAGCAGCAAACACCACAGTGAGATCCCAAGCACGGTACTGGGATGCTGGTTTTCCACTTAGGAGCTACTCAGGAACTGCTGTGCACTGGCTTTACATAAAAAAAACATACTGGGCAGCATCTCTTAGGGTGGGATTCAACTTCCTAAACTTCAGGACAGCAAGAACAGGCAGAGATGTCCAGGCTCCCTCTACAGTTGACAGAAGTGAATGGCCCAGCAGAGCTGCCCCCTCCTCTCCAGTGACTCCAGAGGGAGTTGGGGATGTCCATCCCATCCATCCCACCTTCCACACTCCAGTAAGAGCAACTCATTTTCTTCCTGCCCCCTTCCAGTACATCTCAGGTCTCTGCCCTCAGAGATTCCAACATTTGGCATCACAAACCCTCCCTTCACAACCCTCCGGACGCAGGGTCACCATCCTAATGAGACCATGGTTTCCAAACACCGAGGAAACCACAAAGCTCACCCAGTGTCCAGACTTCATCTACTCTCTGAGAAGAGGGAGCGTGGCTGAGCTCTGCTGTCCAATTTTGGCCCTGATTTAGGAATTTTACACCTGGCCACGTGTTATGGGAAGCCAACCCCTACCCTGCTCCTCTCCAGAGCTGATCTGGGGTGTGGGAAAGGGTTCTGCACCAAGGATCAGAGCAGCACCAGGGAGGTAGGTGGGTCCAAGACTGAATGACAGCCAAGGTTTCGGCAGGCAGTGGGATCAGCTAACTGGGAAAGGCTGGAAAGCAGTGTCCCCGTGCTGTCCCCAACACTCACTGTGGCTGAGCCACAAATCTGGCCTCTCTATTCAAACTCTGTGCCTGTTCTTGACCACCAGCCAGCAGGAGCAGGTTGCTTCACTCTAATTAGTCCTCAGCCAATCAACTGCCGTTTCTCTAATTACTGACAACGAGTGACCGAGTCAGCTTTCTGCAGAAGGACACAGCAGGAGAAGACCCTGGTCACTAGAGCTGAGGAGTGCCCAAGCTGGGCAGCTCCAGCCTGACTGTGAGATCAGCTCCAGCAGACGAGGTCCCAGTCAAAGGCAAGATCAGCTCCAGCAGCCCCCAGAGGACAGCGGTGACATCCCTGGCTGACCCCACGCGTGTGGCCAGCAGTCCCTCTCCTCCCACGTTCAAGTCTACAGAGGACAAGCGGAGGGAGAAGACATTCCCGAGGAGGAAGAGCCACCCTCACCGTAGCTGGTCTCTGCACCAGGTTCTCCAGTTTGGTGTGGCTGAACTCCAGGCTGATGACGTTGTAAAGTTTCTCTCGCTCGGCCTCCGGCGTTTCGTAGTAGCGGGCCCACTGCGCCATGGACATCTCGATATCCCTCTGCGTGTTCACATCCATCACGTCCACCATCCGTCGGCTCCCTGTCACAACAGACACACATCACTGGAACCATCCCTGTGCTCAGTGGACCACCCAGAAGAGACACCGTAGGAGACACGGGACCCTTCCTCAAGAACCCACCCCCACACAGGTGCCATGTCTTGGCCTCTCCCATAACTTCATCTCCTTCTGTACCCACATTAAAACAGAAGCTGCTTCAGGTCACAGAATCACAGACTGGTGGGGGTGGGAAGGGACCTTTCAGAGATCCTTTAGTCCAACCCCCTGCCAAAGCAGGGCCGCCCAGAGCAGGTTGTACAGGAACCCCTCCAGGTGGGGTTTGAATGTCTCCAGAGAAGGAGATTCCACACCATCTCTGGGCAGCCTCTTCCAGGGTTCTGCCACCCTCAAAGTAAAGATGTTCTTCCTCATGTTGAGATGGAATTTCCTGTGTTCTTGTGCCCATTGCCCCTTGTCCTATCACCAGGCACCACTGAGAAGAATCTGGGCTCATCCTCTGGACACCCACCCTTTAGATATTGATCAGCATTGACGAGATGCTCTTTCAGGCTTCTCTTCTCCAGGCTGAGCAGCCTCAGGTCCCTCAGCCTTTCCTCATAAGAGAGGACCTCCATTCCCTTGACCATCTTTGTAGCCCTAGGTCAAACTAAACTCAAGCAGGTACGAGTCATGATCCACTGGCAAAGAACAGCTCAAGTTCAACCAGCTGGACAGTGGGGGATCCACAAAACCAGACTCCCAGCTTGGATAAACCCTTTGACTCTCCCCATTCCTCCCCATCTGCCCGGGGTGCAGCAGGGGCACGCTGTGGTCCCCAGACACTCACCGACACACAGCCGCACATCGTTGACGCTGAAGTCCGGATCTGGCATCCTGCAGGACAAAACACCTTGCTAAAAAAAATAAATCACAAAGCGCCTCTGGTTGCAGACCCTTCCCACCTGTAACCCCAGTACTGGCACCCTGAAGATACTATTATGCTTTCTTTTTGGCTGCGGGTGAAGACCACACAACTAGATCTCTGGGGACACAGGTCTGGGCTGAAACACTGGGCTCAACTTCTGGGAAGCAGATTTGGGGATAGGATAAAGGATCTCTAGAGCATGAGCTGTTTGTTGTCCAGTGGCTTCTGGCAAACAAACAAGCGGGCCTCGAGCTCAGCAATCCTACCTCTCATTTTCAAGAGTGCTCGTGTGAGTTATCCCAATATAAAAGGCACAGCCAGACCAGTACAAGCAGAGCATTTCACTGACACAGCATAACCACCCTGACTGTTTGTACTGGCAAACTCATCCACACAAACACTGCTGTCACAGGAAGAACGGGCGGGCAGCGATTCAAGCAGCTCTTGACCCAGAGAAAGAACCAAAAGCTCAGGAGAAATCCAGTTTTACCCACACTGTAATTCTCAGTATCAAATCCCTGCCTTCCCCAAATCACCCAGCAGTTAAAACCGAGCCCAGCACAATTTCCAGTGTAATCTATCCCAGTATGGTACATCACACACTGGGTGAGGTGTTGCCCATCCATTCACAGCCAGCGGAGGAAGTTAAGAGCAGCGCTGCTGATATTGGCTCTGTCAAGAGTTTGCTAGGGCTAATTTATTCCTCTAACTTTTGTATTAATCAATAGCAAAAAAAAAACCCAAACCACTGACCCAGCAGAAACACTGGATCAGATCAGGGTGGGTTTTTTTATTTTGTAAAAGACAGCTGTAATGCTTTGATATAATATTTCTTACCTTAAAACTGCATCTACCACCCCATAGCGTATTTATAGGAACATCATAAAACTGCACAAAGTCTTGCATCAGTGCAGCTTCACACTCAAAGCTCTAAACCTTTCCTGACTTACTGTAGCAAGAGAGAGATACGATACTTCAGAAGTAACCACGCTGGGTAAAATGGGTTGGAATTCTGGAAAATGCCAGAAATACTACAAATTGCTTGACTCTCTGGCAATGGATGCCTATATTGCTAGGAAAAATAAAACCCAGACAGATGTTGCATCAGAGCAGCAGTGGGATTTTCCAGACGTTTGGTTGAATCGTGATCACCTCCAGCCAATTCAGTCCTCTCGTTTTAAATCCAAACAGACTCGTAAGAACAGGATAACTGAGGTGGAAGATCACTTCTCACAGCGTGTGAAGAACAGCACGGACAGGAACACAGTCATGACACCTCAGCTGAGCATGGATCCAGCTACTAGGATCAGATCCCACTCAGTGTGGAAAGAGGGAAGAATTTGGGCCAGAGACACCCACCACTCTGTGTCCCCAACACTTACTTTATCCCCAGGCCGTCCGAGCTTCTGAAGATGAGAGGGTCCCTCAGGCCACCCCGCTGGATGTATTCAACTGTGAAGTCTAGGGTGGGGAGACAAGGAGGAGGAAGGTGTTAGGGGAGACTCCTTCAGGGGTCTATAGACACACTGAGGTTAGGAAGGATCTCTGGAGAGTTCTAGGCCAACCCTGCTCTCAGCAAACTGACTTCAGACTCAGAGCAGGTTGTTCAGGGCCCTCTGCAGTTGACAATCACAAAATGGTTAGAGTCGGAACAGACCTTTGAAGATCATCTAGTTCCAGCCCCCTGCCCTGGGCAGGGACACCTCCCACCAGACCAGGTTGCTCAAAGCCCCATCCAACCTGGCCTTCAACACCTCTTGTGTGGCCTCCACAACTTCTCTGGGCAACCTGGGCCAGGGTCCCACCACCCTCACAATCAAGAATTTCTTCCTAATAGACCTGAGAACCTCCTCCTATCTCCGTGGTGAGGCCAGCCAGCGGAAGAAAGCCCTGTTCCTCTCAAGTTCCAGAGATGCTGGAAGTCCTTTGCGGCAGTTCTGCGAGCAGCATGATGCGTGCTGCTGACAAGCTCCAGACAGACCCCCCCAGGGAGGGGGGAATTTGCCGCAACAAGCTGCACCAGACAGGGGAACAGCACGGTTTTTGGTCCCCAGCTTCCTCAAGAAGCTCCCGGCCAAGCAAAGAGATGCCTTGAAGAAACGCTCCTCCCTCACGGTAAATCCTCACGAGGCCTGCACCGAGGGCGTGATGAAAAGACATCCCACCGAGCCCTACGCGTGGTGAAAGGAAAGGGGAGAGATCCCACACGGGCTTTCAATTAAGCATCTAGTAGACATGTGGCTGCAATTACAGGTGCTGACCCAGGCAAACCCTCTCGGTTCCTGGCCGCCACGTGTCCCAGCGAGCCCGCGGCACCGCAGACCGGCTCGTGGTCTCCAGAGCAAGCAGCTTCCCTGCCGCTTCCCCACACGCCCTCCCTCTTTACCACCTCCCCTGGTCCAAGGGCTCTGCAGCCGTGAGCCATTCCTCCACCCATATGCCTGAAGTTGCCTTCAAACTGCTTGAGAACTGCCCAGGACTTGCAGGGAGGAGGGGGGGGACAGCAAAAACATCCCCCACCCGCTCTGCACCACAAGTAAACCCCTTTGGAGCAGAGGAAAGCAGGGAACTGGTGTGGAGAGCAGTTTTCCCAATGTTACAGAAGGGTGAAAAGTAAAAAGCAGCACCAACGCAGGAGAGGGGAAAAGGATCTCATTAATCCTCGAATTTCATTTCCATCGCCTTGTCACCGCCCTTCAAGTTGGCAGTCGGGGAGGCTCTGGGTGTAGTCGGATGGAGGAGAGCACATCCAAGCACTGTTAGCTTTCCACGAAAGGCTCGGGGAAAGGTCATCTCCCCCACCATTCCTCACTGGAGAAACAGCCAACCAAGGCAGCTGCCTGGTTTCCGACAGCGGTAGCACACGCCGCAGCATATTGTGGCCCAAGACAAACCTTTGCCTTCCATGAAGACCACGAAGGTGGAGTTAAACTTGTTGGTGGACAGCTTTTCCTCCAGGTCGAACGTCCTCTTCCCTTCGATTTCATCGTCGGAGATGCCGTCGTCCTCGTAACGCCGCCTCATCGTGCCACGCTGAGGAGAGAACAGAGCAGGAAGGACAGAGTTATGGACCAGGAGGAAGAACCAGATGGCTTCCAAGTCTCATCTCAACCTAGTACAGCTCAGCCAGGACCTCCAGGAGATCCCTTGCCCTGGGAAGCTCCCACACTCCTTCTCCCAGACAGAAGAGATCCTGTATTACTGCAGTATATTATTCACTAGGTTTCTTGCTCAAAAAGCACCGTTGGCTTCAGTTTTCAAGAGAGACACACTGGAGAAGATCTATTTAGGCGATGTCTCCTCTGGATCCAAAACACACCACTGAAACATCATTTTTGCTCCTCTTACAGCCAACAGATTCGTGCGAGTGAGGCTGTAGGGGAGACAGATAATTCACTCCTAATGAGGACTAACACAGAAACACGGGAAGAGGGGAGATAACTCAGTATAACTGGGGCAAAGGAAAAAGATTCAGTTTCCCCTTTTTACAGGTGCATCTGTATTTTATTGCGCTGGAGGCAAAGGCACTTTGTGAATTCAAATCCCTGCCAGAACACCCAAGTGATAAAGGAAGGGTTTTTTTTTTTTTGCTGAAGACAGTTCTCAAATGTTCATCTTTGGCTGTGCTTGTACGCAAAAGTTGATTTATTCCCTTGTTTGTTTGTGGGGGAGGAGTAACCCTTTTCATAGAGGGTCTCCTAAGTACATCTGTAGTGGGATTCCTGACAGACATCCTCTTCTAGCGTTGCTGGATCTGGAAGAAATTACTGTCCCCAGCTGTTGGCTACCCCTCCCGAAACCGGCCGTGCTCTGGCAGAGCCGTTCGTGGGAAACGCTCCCTAAATCCCCTCAAATAAAAGCCAACCTGGTCTGAATTAGCCAAGCTGACTTCCCCCAATTAGGGATGCTCCCGTTATAAAGCCGTCACACACCAACCGTCGCGCCAGCAGCCAGCCAGGGACAGGACGGGGGGGGACAGGAGGTGACGCAGCAGCTACTGTCACATCTGGGACCCGGGAAGGTGGCACCTGTCTGCAGCAGGGGGACACAGCACATCCTCAAAAACCACCATGGTCCCAGCCACGCAGTGGGATGCTGGAATTCACCATTGCCAGTGAGGTGACTGATGGCATCACAGCCGCCACCTGACCTCCTACGAGTTTAACAGCTCGTTTCTTCCTTCTTTTAGGGTCTCCTGGAAAAAGCTAGGGTGCCCTTTCCCAAGTGTGGAATTTTCACGTCTCAGATTCTCCTCCCAGTGCTCCCAACAAGCCACAGATCTCCTCCTAGGTGTCCAGCACCCATTCAGACTTCACCCAAAGCCACTCTCCGCTCCCTTCTGTCTTCCTCACCCAGCCAAGGGTAAGGCAGGGCTTGCTCTGGACCACATGAAGTCCCAGGAGGTACAAGCCCACCTTGCAGTGATGGTGAAAACCCCTGAGAGGGTTTGTTTTGCTCCAAAGAGTCAGCCCCAGCCTTGCCTGGCCCCACTCACCTTCCCCTTAATCCCACCGCTCCCCCAGCCCATCGCACCCCCAAAAGCTGAACGAAACACATCCGGGATATTTTCCAGCCTGGTATTACAGAATCACAGAATCTTCTAGGTTGGAAGGGACCTTAAAGATCATCTTGTCCAACCGTCAACCTCACTGACAAAAATAGACACCCGCACAACAAACAAGAAGCATCACCATCACTAAACCATACCTCCCAGCACTACATCAACCCATCTTTTGAACACCTCCAGGGATGGGGCCTCAACCACCTCCCTGGGCAGCCCATTCCAAGGGCTGATGACCCTTTCAGTGAAAAAATGTTTCCTAATATCCAGCCTGAACCTCCCCTGGCGTAACTTGAGGCCATTTCCTCTCGTCCTGTCACCTGTGACTTGGGAGAAGAGACCGACCCCCACCTCTCTACACCCTCCTTTCAGGGAGTTGGAGAGAGCAATAAGGTCTCCCCTCAGCCTCCTCTTCTCCAGGCTGAACACCCCCAGCTCCCTCAGCCTCTCCTCATAAGACTTGTGCTCCAGACCCCTCACCAGCTTTGTTGCCCTTCTCTGGACCCGCTCCAGCACCTCTAGGTCTTTTTTATGGTAGGGGGCCCAAAACTGGACACAGTACTCGAGGTGGGGCCTCACCAGTGCCCAGTACAGGGGGACAATCACCTCTCAGGCCCTACTCGCCACGCTGTTCCTGATACAGGCATTACCATCCATCAATCCCATCACTGCATCACTTCGCTCCTCCCTCTCTTCTTTTTAATCTTATATATTTAAAGATAAGATTAAAAAGAGAAACGACTCCCTGATACAGACGCAACCGCTTTAAAGATACTTTTAAAGCGACTTAGTTCAACGCCACACAACCCGGTCCGAAGCCAGCGCCAAGCTCGGTCTGACAGCTCCCTGAAAGATTTCCTTCTGGAGCGGTCGCAGTCACCACCCTGCCAGAACTGGATGCCACAGGCGGCATTGTCTGTCCCTCTGGAAGTGGCACCAGGCCAGGCCAGCGCAGGCTCCGGATCGTTGTGGGACGGCTCGTTTAAACGCAATGGCGGCCCCACATGGGCCTAGGCCCAACGCAGATCCCACCGGTGGTGTAGGTGGACCCCGCGCTCGTGCTGGGGGGGGACAGTCCCAGCAAAAAAAGGGGGTCCCACCAGGACAGGATGACACAGACTGAGCTAGGGATAAAGTCCCAGAGATGACGTGCAGAAGAGAGCTCCCTCTCCCTTCCCCATCCACCCGCTCCCTCCCCGTGTCCTGTCACTGCTGGCTCCAGTCACTCCACTTCGGCCTTTGGGCCACAAAACCCCTTTGCTCAGGTTAATCCCCAGCAAAAAATTACAACTTGGAGGGCAGACCCCCACTCCCACCCCACGTCAAGGTGCAGCAAACCATCTGGTGGCCCCGTAACAAACCTGGAGGCTTTCTGACCAGAGAAAAGCAGCGTGTTTCAGAAGATGCCGCTCCATCAGCCCAACTTGCCGTGGCCTCGCACGAAACAGCAGTGATAAAAACTGCCCTTTACTCAGCTAAATCCACCCTGTGGGATCAGGGGAACATCTTTTCCCCTCACACCGCAAAGGTACAAACACGAGGAAATGGGGCAGAAACGCCTTCAGCTCTAATCCCTTTACAATGGGGAAACGGGGATGGTGAACGTGGAAGGAAAAGGTCCTCTCCTCCAGCCTGGCAAATTCCAAAGTCTAATGCTCCTGTCATCGGCACAGCATCAGCTCCAAAACTCGTTCCAGATCAGCTTCGCGTGTTCCCGTGGGCAGGGAAGAGTCTGGCCTCCTAATTTGCCCAGTATGTAGGAGAAGAGGATCCCAGTCACGGCTGAGGACCCAAAAAACGCTGCCACAATACAAATAGCTCCCATCAGTTACACAAGGCCTCTCGCGTCCTGGGCCAGGGCCACAAGCGCTTTCATGTCATTGTTGTCTTGGGAGGGTGGGGAAAACTAAAAAAAACACAACATTTCAGCGCGCGCGGAGCAGACAGGAGGAAGGAACGGCTTCTGCACTCCCAAGCTGTGTGTTTTGGGACAGAGGCAGCATCTGCTGGGGCTTTGGGCAAATCTCTGCAGCAGTTCTTCTCCCTCTCCTGGAGCCTTGCAGTTTCCTCACACCACTTACACAACCCTAGATGTCAAAGTGGGGTCTCCGTACTAGGCTAGATGTGGTCAGAGTCTGAACCTAGGGCTTGTGTAGGACACTCCAAGAGCTCTTTCTTTCCACTACTGGAAGATTTTTCCAGTGATAACTGTTGCTTCAGCCAGAGACGCGCGACTTCCAAAAATGAGATCAGGAGACACCCCCAAAACCATCATCCATGAATGCCCCAGATGAATCATAGAATCGTCTAGGTTGGAAGAGACCCTTGGGATCATCTAGTCCAACCATCTCCCCTACTCTACAAAGTCCTCCCCTACACCATGTCCCTCAGCACTGCATCTAAATGGCCCTTAAACACAGCCAGGGATGGGGACTCCACCCCCTCCCTGGGCAGCCTGTTCCAATGCCCGACCACTCTTTCTGTGAAAAATTCCTTCCTAATGTTCAGTCTAAACCTACCCTGAAGCCCAGCCCCAGCAAAGCAAGGGATAAGTCAGGCACATCACACATATATGTCTATTGGACAACCTCAGCAATATTTAAATATTTACATTTTTTTTTTCCCCCACCCAGTTTTGTGATCTGCGTTAGGATTCGGGCATTTTTAAATCCTTCTGAGAGTTTTACTAAGGAAGAACAGACAAGCAGCCCCAAGCCTTTCTCTGCGTGTCAGGCAGGGTCAAGATAAAGGCAGTTCATTCATCCTCCACCACCAGCCAGCAATTCTCATCTAAGATAGCTGGGCCTTCACCATTTCTTTCTGGCCCTCTTGGGTACCATTCACTTAATGTAGGAAATAGGAAGCATGAATATTAATCTCACGGATGGCTCCAGTCTTATCCCTTCTATTCTCATCCCTTCACCTGCAGCTTCTCTCTCTCTCAGGGATGCTGGGGAAGCACCTGACACAGCTCCGTGGTGACACTCTTCAAAACCCTTCCTTGGACACCTCTCTCCATCAAGCAAGCGCTGCCTCGATGGAGCACGACTACCTCCAACAGCAAAGGAACTGAAAGCTCCTCGGCTGAAGAGAACCATAAGATTCTCCTGTGGGGTTGTGTTTTTTTGGGGTTTTTTTTTTTGAGAGAAGAATGAGTACAAGGTCACATTTGGGAAAGAAAAAAAAAAAAAAAAAAAAGAACAAGCCGTCCTTTTCGCTGAAAGAGCCTCACATATTTACAGAGTGAAACCAACAAACACCGCAGTATTTTAGTCACTTCCTGTCCCGTCTCCTGCTGGTCCCTCCCCGATCTCCCAACATCTCCATCTCCTGGTCCCCGGGAAGCCTCCTCCTGCTGTGCCACAGCTCCTTCCTCTTCAGGACACCGGAGGACTCCTCACTTTCCCTCTCCCTGTGCCCCCTCTCCTCTGTCTGCTGGGTTTCCAGAGCAGTTTGCCTGGTTCGAAGCCTC